GTTCGTTCATGTTCAACTCAACTCAACAAACAATAACAACAAAGTTCTGGGAAGGGAGTCGTAATATCACCATTTCTCACATCACGATGCTGTATCCTGCCCCAGTAGGCAGTTCCAAAAACGATATAAAAGTAAGTTCGACCTTTTTTGATGTCTTTTAGGCCGTGTTCATATTCGCAATACTGACGATTTGCAGAAACCGTCGAAAGGAAAGGTTGTGTATAGACCTGGAGGACGGCAGAACAAACAAAGCAACAGCAACGTAACAAAGTAAGTGAATTCTGGAGCTGGCAGCATGCGGGGGAAGGGAGAAAAACAACATCCCGTGTGAAGTTCTGCGTGTCTTACTTTTGGAACAAGATGTTCAATACTCCGCTTGAACGTACTCAGATGCAAAATTCAGTATAATAATTAGCATATTGTATATTTAGTACTATTTTACATAGGAAATAATAAATAACTCAAAGATATTTCGAAACGTTCCTTAAAATTAGGAGGGCGTTATGTACACAAAGGAAGAAAGAAGGAAAAGGAAAAAAAGAACAGGAAATAAACATGAACTAACATGATCCCCTCCCGGTGTAATTTCACCCACAGTAGCGCGATGGATCGCGCGATCACAGCGATCGGCGCGATCGCGGAGTCTGAACGCGCTCTTAAGGGGGAGAGGGCGGGCGCCAGTGAAGTAAATACAATAGGAGGCCTGATCCGTTGAAATAGATCAGCGCGAGCTACACCTTCTAGAAGGCTGCACACGAATGGTTCTACTCGCGCCAAACTGCTAATAGGGAGCTATATAGTGGGGAAATGGCGAAAGAACGGAGTGAAACGGTCAATCGGCGAAGAAAAAGCCTTCGTTCTCAGTGACTTGCAAATCGATTTCGGACGAGTTTCCCGTACGCATCTTGCCAATCACCGCTACCGAAGATACGGCTGCATATGTGTACCCATATATTGGATGACAGATCACCGCCGCTTCATACCAATCCCTTTGCTTCATAATTTGCTCAGCAAATGAATGAATACGAGCGTCAGAAACGGTCGTCCGTTTGTGGGCGGGCGGGCAAGGAAGGCGTTTGGGACGTAAAGTTGTTGCTCAATAGGGCGTTATAGAGGTACCCTCCTTGGAAAAGGCTTCACGCAGCGCCTGTCCGAGGTCGACGGAACTTTGGTTAAGCATTTGTACAATTCATACACCTGTATACGCGATTTATCGTGGCAACTGCTTTAAGAAGAACTTTCTTGACTATAGATTTTTTTCTCATGCATTGCTATCCAGGAGAATTATCACCGTTTATTGGAGCCGTTGTTAAAGCCTTTGGTTCAAAAGGAATTCACATGAGTCACATGGAAACGAGGAAGGAGAAGTCTGGACAAGGTTTAACTTTTGTTCTTTTTTTCCGAATGCAGATGGAGGACATCGGTTATACGGCCGTGCAGGGAAATTTTGGTACAGTCACCTTGCGCTGCGGATTGCTGGGCACGATGCGGGGAATGCGCCTGGGTTTTGCGAGGCGCAACGCTACCCGTTTTGCGGCAAAGTGTGGTCATTTCCATTTTGCAGTATGGTGTAAAACAGGACTGGGCGTCCTGTAAAACCAAGCATGCTGCAACGAACAAGGCAGACGAGGATGTAGGGAGAAAGGAAAGGGGAGGTGGGGGGGGGGTAAAGAATGAGGGGAGGGAAATAGGGGTGGGGTAGGGGAGGAGGTGAGGTGGGACTCTCAACTTTGATATCTACGATTCGCGGGAGCACACCTATTTCGTAAAAATGTTTCGGGCATGAGTTATAGGATCTGTTACCTGAACTGTTGAGAACAGCTGTGAATGTGATACGTCCTTTGTCCGCTGCCCATATAAGATCCACACCTTCATCGTTGAGGCGTTGCAAGATATGAAAAATGAAATATGGCTCAAACGGTCGATGGCATGAAAAAACCTCCAAGTCTTGTTCCTCATTATACTCTGTCCCCTCGGATATAAAGCTCTGCCTGGGATTTGTGGAAGACTCCGTATTCTTAAACTCATACAATCCACTGGACTACGCCGTGACTGATTATGGGACCAACTGAGATCCCACAGGTACGAACAGAGACGTCCGTGGCCCGAAATTTAGATTTCGCAGAAAGGACAAGTGATGTGTACATAAGAGGGATAGATTCAAGGGAAGGCATCCATTTATTTCTTTTCACTCCACACTCGCACAATGAATACCGCAAACCTTCTCTCCTTTTGTGATTTCCTTTAGTTGTTCACGATGTTTTAGTGTTGCTTGGCGTCTCACGTCAGCATGCAGTATGGCTTCGCAGCTGGCCTGATGGGCAAGTGAAAAGCGACGAGGATGATCAGATTCGACGGCAATCTAAAAAATAGTCTGTCTGTCTGGCACAACTTCTCGTCTTCCTGTTGCTGCCGTATACATTTTAGTTCAAAGAGTTTTTTTAATTTTGCACCTTCAGCGAGCGCGACGTCGCAGACGACGCCTATTTACGATTGTCTTGTCACATACTTGGCGTGATCGCTAGATTCCATCCTATCCTGCAGCTCAGCTGACCGCGAGATAGAGCGTGTCCAGGGCCATACTTATTACGGTGGCCATAGACCATAAGGAATGACCAAATTCTTTATTTTTCGGTGGGCTATACCTCATTTTTCGCCTTAGCGATTAAAAGTAGTGCTCTCGAGTGCTCACCTTTTTCGTGGCGGCCATAATGATTGCTAGTTTGCTTCACAGAACAATTTGAATTTCACGATTTGCAACCGGTTCCTGCAATTATGATAACCTTATAGTCGTTGCATAAGTTGCGCCATCACACGTATTTTGTGAACCCATAGATTTCCTGAGAATTTTTAAAGAATGCAGCGCGTCTTGGGGATTTAACGGCAGAATACACTATGGAAAGATGTGGGTATGTGGACTGAAACGTAGATCCGTGACCGCTAATTGCCCTGCACTGAAGAAAAAAGCAAGTCAGTTTGAGAGAGTTACAAGGCTCTGGTTTTGGAGCCAATGCCGAGCAAATTTCAAGCATGCGACGAAGAAAAACCAAGCGCGCGGCAGAAGGAGGAGACGACAAAGAGGGTATAGAGACTACCGCGTAAGTGACGCTTACAGTGCAATGCACTTGCGTGGGTGAGGCTTCCAGTGGGTGGCCGTAAGGTATCCTGGACAGCCGTATACACCATCCTGGGCGCCAGGCGCTTTTAGTTTTGACAATCAGTGCGACTTTTGTGTGCTAGCGGAGCTGCCTGTTTTTCCAGTGGTGTGATCTGTTTCTTCCAGACCCTGCAGACCTCAAGTGGAAGCTTGAAATAGGTCTCCGCCATGAAAGAAAACGTAAAGGAGTCAAAGGAGTGATGATACAAATTTGTAGAGCTAGACATATGAACAATGGTTAAGGGTGCAAAATTGAGCGGAGGGGCCGAAAGAAAGTCAAGAGAGACGAGGTTTAACCAAGAATCAGGGACATGTAATAGAAGGAGGGCCGCTCTGCTGCTGAATGCTCTTCTGAAGATCTCCCATATGATCTCTCCCTCTGATAAGGAGGCTCTATTCCCATCCCCTATTCCTATGCTACACCTTCGCTAGCTACCTCGAGCAGCCTTCCGAAGCCCCTCCTCCAAATTTCATACCTTCCTTCGGAGTTTCTTCCAAGAACTCCACCATTTTTCCAAGGCAAAAAAGAAGACAGCGCACACGCACACGAAGCACTGAAAAACACGAGAAAAATCAACGACGAAAACCATTTTTCCCCGAAGGGAGCTCCCCTCCTTCAGGCGCATTTCCAGCGTATGAGTCTTTTGACGTGTTTGGTTCCAGAGCCGGGGCGAATGCTATACTGGGCAGTCCTAACGGATGGTACTGCTAGCCTCTAAAATAGCTAAATATGACGCAGTAAAGTATATAGAACACCAAATCGGGTATTGCCGTTCTAGTGCAAGATGGTTTGCACCACCACAGGTCGGAGAGGGCTAAATGCTATGAAGAGGCATGAAAAGATGGAGTCTATAAAGCCTCCTTGCTGGTTAGCCTCCACATTGTTATTCCCACAGAATCGTGATATTCTCCGAGTACGACTCGGGTGAAGAGTAAGCGATACAAACGTCAGTGCTTTGATCTTTGCAGAGCATGGTGGAATTGGCTGCTCGGCGCTCGGGTTTGACCCCGGGACTCAGTCGGGGAGTCCCGTCATGCACTCGTGGCTAGCAGCGCCAAGTTGTACTCGTGCAATCTCCCGCCTCTCACCATCCGCAAGTTAGCCACGTGAAAAGAAGTGAGAAGTAGGTCCTAGATGGGGATAGAACTAGTTGCCGGCGCAGTTCGCCGACGGAGGGGGGGCATTTTGCACTTTTGTTGGCTTATTACTAGTTCTGGTTTATAAGTCTCACTCTGGTGGAACCTGTGAACTTTTGTGGAGCAAGCATGTCAAGCCATCATGGTAAAATCTGTCAACTCGAGAAGAGTGCCGCTAGATGGGTACAACGTGATGGGAAGTCATGCAAAAGTGCAAAAGCCCCCCGCACCGTCGCCAAACGAGCCCCTCAGTTGCTTGTAAGAGGCTGAAAAAGAGCAACGTGGTAGCCAAGTCCCACAAAGAAAGAATGCGGCTGAGCAAAGCAACAAGGTGCTTGCAGCCTAGTATAGTGCTTCAGAACTGGATCGCGCTAGGTCAAGTCAGAGTCCCATTTCTCAATGCAGGTTACCAGTCCTCCGAACATGCCAAAAGTAAGCTCTACCAAAAGGAAATTCCAAAGCAACTCTATGAAGATAGAGCAGCGCAGCAGGAGCAGCGAAATGTTCGTCAAACTTGGTTCGTGAGCCACAAGGTATGTCGCATTTAACGACTTCCGACGGGCGGTATCATAGACGAGATAATTGCCTCCGGTCTCTTGAAGACATATTGTTATATCATGACAACATGTCGCCGATCAAGTATCCTTACATTATACGAGTGCAACGAAGGAACATAAGAAGTAGCATATTCGCAATTGCGGTTGTTTCTTGACAAACATTTGCTGGGCTATTCTCATCAACGATTACATTATAGGTGTCAATCAACTAGTATGGGTAAGTAGTCTCTTGATGTCACCGTTTCCTACGACTACCGTATTCCATATTGCGAATGTTCTCACAGACCTCATTCAGATGCCTTTTTCGCAATATCTGCTGGTGAAACACACCCAGTAGGTTCAGTACGTAAGAACCTTCCACCAGGACGGGTCGTATCTTGGTCGCTGGTTGTCCCCGCTCCTTTAGCTACTTTCAACGGGCAAAACTACCATATAGTGCTATTCCTGTACTCGAAATGACTAGTTCAGTGGTGCACGATCGGCGACTCCCCCTCCCTTCTTCAAATCGTACAGAAGCAGCCCATATCTGTGACGGAAATTCCATATGCAGAAAATTATCTGGACTGTATGGGAAAGCTCGTAGCTTCCGAGAGTTAAGAACATATGGTACGATCACACATAGTTTGGGTGTGTGTGACTATCAGCCCCCAGCTGTCGAAGCGTAGCGGTTTCCCCGTCCTAACATGCGCAGGAATGGAGATACAGGACCGTGAAACACGCTAATTCCTCCATGCTCCGCCCAATATGCCTTTGCATGGCAGACTCCCGTTCATGCTAACAGCCGTCCGCGCCCCCCGGCCCCCCGCGTGTGGCGCGGCATAGCGCTCTTGGCCCTTTGGCCCCGTCCTGTAATTGCGTCTCTTGGAATACAAGTAAACACAATTTTCCTGAGAACGGATAAGCATTTGAGTGCTGCAACACATAAAGAATCGAAGACGATGACGAGGGCCAGAACTCAAGAGCAACTGTACTGCTTCTGCAACATCCCTCAGAGGCCGCGCATTCCCACAAAACATGACAATAAAAACGGCTTGAGCGTTCCACTCGTTAGTTTCAAAGTATTTCTATGGCTTTAGAGCCGGAATCGCGCCGAATTGCAGAATTTTACACGCTTTTCAATTAATTCGCATTTCCTTGATTTTTTTTTATTTGTCTTATTTTGCAGCACCTCAAATGTCATCCGCATCAGGAAATTGCGTTACTTGTATTTCAAAGCGCAAATACAAGACTTGGCAAAGTGCCAAGAGCGTTGCGCGCGACAACACGCCGCTGCGCGGACGGCTGCTAGCATAAACGGGAGTCTGCTCCGCAAAAGGCATTGGGCGGAGCATGGAGGGATTAGCGTGTTCCACGGTCCTGCATCTCCATTCCTGCGCATGTTAGGACGGGAAAAGCACCACGCGTAGACAGCTGGGGGCTGATAGTCACGCATTCAAACTATGTGTGATCGTACGATGTGTTTTTGAGCATACGTGGCGGAATCCGCGACGAGGGGGTCGTATTTGGCCCTTCTCGGCAGGGGGAGGGTCGTATTTGCAGAGGCCAGTATTAAAAATTGCAGCGACATATTTTGCGTTCGGCAATGGGGTCGAGTACCTAGCGCATCCCAAGGTAAGGTTGATCGTCGGCTCAAGGCTTCCTTTTTTCAAGAGAAAGGACTCATTTGAAGCCTTGTGCAACACAGTATCCCTCTCAGTAAGCTATTGCCTTATCAATGGCTTTTAGCCCCTATTCAAGTTGATATTGAAAATGACTGATAAGGTTCCACTATAAATGCGGGCATTTCCGGTGTTTCGGTCATTAATCTTACTTACTGCACACACTCACGTTATCATGGAAGCTGTATCCGAGATCGTTGAAACATATCGTCATGACTTAGAAGAAGCTGCCGAGGAACTTCGTCAACGTGGTCAATCGTTCAGCGAGACTGTACCCAGAATGATCGAAGACACAAAAAGCCAAATTGAACCACAGACACAAGAGATAATTGAAGCTGTACAAGATACGGTACGTGTTTTGTATGCGAAAGATGGCACAAATAGCCCAGGTCTATAGTGGTGTCGAGAATTAGGAGGAGGGGTCCATCCGACACGCCAATTTTGAGAAAACCTGGGCGCAGTGAGCCTCGGGAGTGGTTAGGCAGCTGGGCTTGACCACGTACAGACAAAACGAAGCTGTATCGAAGAAAAGATGTAGACGAAAAGAAACGGTCTAGCATCTATGAAAAGTGGCCTCTCCGAGGCAAATAGTCACGAAATTGTATTGCATCGCTGGTTAAAACACGTCACTAGCATGTCGTGCAACGTCTGAGGGCAGGAGGCGGCAGAAGGCTAACTCGGCTTGGAAGAGCCAGACGGCGCTGCGTGCCACTCGTGCTCTGGTCGCCTGTGCTCTGCTGACGTTGGCTTCGAGGGGGAAAGTGGTGTAACTCGTCTCATCCAAAGCGCGCATGGCTAGTTGACCCAACGCCGGATAGAACGGGTTATGGCAGCCTAGTCCAATGGCACCACTCCTTTTCCAGAGCTGGCTGCGATTTCGCACGGCTAGATGGTACCGTAACCAAAGCCTACTTTATCACCCATCGGAAAGCTGACGAAAATCACAAGAAGATAGACAGTATCCTCTATGTAATCACGACCAGTCTTGCCCAATTCGAAAACAAATCAAGCGTGAGGGTAGGGTAGTCCCTCGATGTCCGCAATCGGGCGTTGCAGCCGCGGAAAACGGTTCATTCAGGGGCGCACGCCACCACGACCTAGTCCTGCTAATGGGTGCGCTAACAAGCCAGGATGGGTAGCTGGCCTGCGATACCGCACCTCAAATGGGTATAATGGAAATCGTACGCTTGTGGGCGTGGCCAGAGACGAGTTATCCTGAACCGTCCACCGGATTCAAGTGTGATAGGACGGGAAAGCTCAATATCACGCGGCATGCGATTTCGCTCACGATACAAGTCGCAGAGGACGAGCAGACTAGCAAGACAATCGTAATGTGTCGCGTCGCTGCGCGCGGCATATGGTGCGGCCGTACGCGGCAAGTTCTCGGTACGCACCAGTTTTCTGATTGGAGCAGCAAAACTCGTATGACTTCAAGCAAAGTCAAGGCTCCATGACGTGCGGTCGAATCTCTCCCACCCTTTGACATTAGTTTACAAACGGTCAGGCAGTATAACTCGTCCGGCGGGAGCGGCGTCGCTCGCTCCGCCCACCGCGCGACATATTAGATTGTCTTGCCATACCCACTTGCATGAGCCTCGCTGCTCCAGTCGACAAACTGATGTCCGCAGGGAAATTGCCGCGCATGGCTCCACGGTTTGCCGCGGGCAACAGCGAGACATATCAAGATGTCATGTCCGTTCTCCACCCTCCCACCCCTCAGGATAGTACCCCTCAGATGAGATGGATCCACAAGGGGGAGAAGAACCCCGTCGTGTGGTTCCTCCCAACTAAGTGAGCAAGTACGTCAACAGGTCAACTGTTGAAGAGAGTACAGTCTCATTCGCTACGCCTGTTGAAGCGTGCCAAGGGAGATGAGTTTAGCGCGGCGCGAGCCCCTTTTTTTCCGGTAAGCGACGAAACTGTATATATCGCTCTCTGCCGACTATTGTCGCCTACTCGCTAGTGGTGAAAAATCTGGTGAAAAGGCTGGCGGCGCGCCAACTCAGTCCTCACTGACACGCGCTTCATCCGTAGCGAACAAGACTTTAGACAATGTACTTGGATAACCACGACCAGTCTTACCCCAATAGGGAAAAAAACCGGGCGTAAAATCACGGGATGGATGGCGCGCCTCACACATACACCACCATGGGGAGAGGGAAGGGACACCGATATGCCACCTCGTGGCGGGAGACGGACAAGGCAATCGTAACTTGTCGCGTCGTCGCAAGCGGCGTAGCGCGTGGCGTTGCGCGGCAAGTTCACGATGTCCATCAAGTCACGATTGGAGTAGCAAAACTCATGTGAATTCAAGGGGAGGGAAGACGCTTTGTCAAATGATACAGGTCTTTCCTATCCCTCTTACATTCTAGTTCGAATAGCCAGGCGAGGCAACTAGTTCCGCGGGCGCGGCGTCGCTCGCTCCACCCACCGGCGCGGCATATTGTGCCGCCGCCTACACATACACACGAGTTTCGCCGCTCCAGTCGACAAAGTATTACATATCATGGACCTGTCGCGCATCGCTGCACGACTGGCCTAGGTGCGACAGCGCGACGAATTGCGGTTCTCTTGTCCGTCCTAATAGGATGTGGTGGACCAAAAAGAGGAGGGAAGAGGGTAAATGACGTGCCCCTTCGGACTAAGCATAGCTTAGCACTCATGTCATCTGCCTCTCAGCAGGCCGCGTATTGGATCAAGCGCCATGCACCTGGGCTACATCAGCGCCTGAAAGGCAAAAAGGCAGTGGAGCGTAGAGGAAGTACCTGTTTTTTTCAGAGCAACGTTTCACCTGCAGAAAAGCCGATGATCGAAGTGTTCGCTTGGTCAACAGTGATGGTGTTCTTCGCCAATATAAGCATATTCTTTGGCGTACACTTTATTGGCCCGTTCATTTCGATATTTGTTG